TCCAACACAACTCAAGACTTGCTCAACAGAAAATCCAGACCATAGAGAGAGGCTCTAAGTGTAATGAATGTGGAAAGATTTTTCAGGAGAAGTCCAAATCTGGTTACACCAAAGAATTCCCACAGGAAGGAAACCTTACATTTGTGGTGACTGTAGCAAAGACATCAATCAGAGACCCAATCTCATTTGACATCATTGAATTGGAGGAATCCCTATGAATGTACTCAAGGTGGAAAAGTTTTCAGAGATAGTTCAAATTTTGTCCTTCACTAGAGAATTCATAGTGAAGGGAAGCCATACATATGTAGTGAATGTGGACAGGCCTTCTACCAAAGTTCAGATCTCATTATACACCACAGAATTCACAATGGAGAGAAACCCGAAGAATGAAATGACTGTGGAAAAGCATTCAGTTAGAGGTCGTATCTTGTTACCCATCCAAGAATTCATACTGGAGAGAAAATGTATGAATGTATGTGGGAAAGCCTTCAGTGACACACTGATGTTTCTCTTAAACACCAAAGACATCAAGCTGGGGAGGAATTCAAATATCAGAAAGCCTATGTTCCGTTTCAGAACTTAGTGGACAGAAGAAACTCAAAGGAAAAGTGAAATGTATAAGTGCAGTGTATGTGGAAGAACCTTCTCAGGCAGCTCATATATTACCAGACATCAAAGAACTCACACTGGAGAAAACCCTTATGAATGCAGAGAACGTACAAAAGCCTTCAATCAGGACTCAGTCCTTACAGAGCATCAGAAAATCCACACAGGGGAGAGGCCATATAAGTGCAATGGATGTGGGAATGAATTGTGAACTCCTTAAGGGGGAGTTCACAATTTATTCAGCACCAAAGAATTCATGGCGGAAAGAAATTCTATGAGTGCAATGTATGTTCAAAGGTGTGTGTGTGTGTGTGTGTGTGTGTATGTGTATTTCAGCTTTGAACTCAGGACTTTACACTTGAAAAGCAGGCACTCTACAGCTTGAGCCACACCTCCAGTTCATTTTGCTCTGGTTATTTTGGAGATGGGGTCTCATGAATTATTTGTCCTGGCTGGCCTTAAACCAAGACCAACTAATCTCACCCTCCCAAGTACCTTGAATTACAGGCATGAGCCACCAGTGCCCAGCTTTTCAAAGACATTTAATCAGAACTCAGATGTTAGTTAACTTCATAGAACTCATAATGGGGAAAAAAAAAAGCCCTATGAATGTGGAAAAGCCTGCAGATGGAGTGTAGGTTTAACTCAGCATCAGAGAAATCACACAAAATTGATCATAATCTGATGGAGACTGTAATAATAAAGATGTTTGTTTTTAATTACTCTTGTATCTACATTTAGCCATAATAGCTACTTGGAAAATTCCAAGATTACTGAGAGCAATTCCCCTCTACCTCAATTTATAGTGCATATTCTCAGGTTATGTGCAGATGTTCTTCCTCAATGCTTTCCACATGATGAATTGGAAACCTGGACAGGAAGTAAGTCTAATTACATGTCACCCCTTACTTTATCATCAGGGATTCCACACCACAGGAAAGTCTTACAAATGGAGAAAGTTGCATCAAGCACCCTACATGGCAAAACAGTGTACTTAGGTGTCCTGTTCCAAACCATCACTTCCCTGAAGGAGGATAAGTTTGAATGTAGCAGTTGAGGACGCTGAATAACAGAACAGGTAAATGTGTTGATATATCTTGGATGGAGCCAGAGTGCAAATCATTTCTTCTTCCAACTTCTGAATCTGGTGAAATAAAGATTTTGAGAGATTTCTCCCTATATTTGAAGGTGAAGAGATTAGAGGATAGACTTGGGGGTGGATTCAACGATGATATATTTTAAGAACTTTTGTAAATGTCACAATGTACCCCCGGTACAATAATATAATTTTTAAAACAACAAAAAAAAAGAACTTAAAGCTTTGTTGAAGGATGTGACAAGTGCACATGACATTTATAAAATCTATATGACCGTGTTCTGTACAGTTGGGCATAATTGAAGTCTTATTGTAATGAAGGCTTTGAACAACAGCTTAAAGTCTGGTCCAATTACTGTCCCTCAACTGCTAACTCTTACTTAAGGCCAAGTTCACTATGTCAGGTCCTTCTTATCCCCCCACTTAAACTGCTTTTTCTTTAAACATAGGTAACATATCTAACAGGTTCTGTCAGGCAACATTCACCAAGTTCTTCCAAGGGACATGCCTTGACTCTTTTTGCTCATTATAAGAAAAATTCAAATACTGATATGTGATTTAAAAGTCAAAGTCCTTTGTTTCTCCAATCCCACAGTTTACAAGACCTTATCCTGCTATAAATCTTTTGTGTACTCTTGTTTTCTTCACATTCTCAATTACAAGGACTTTCAGCTTCTTGAAAGCAGGAAACTATATTTTTGTGTTCCCTCACCATCAACCCAAACTTGGATTTACATATACTGTAATACTGCCTTATTTGTGGGTTTATTGCATGAACTTTTGATAGAGCAGAAGTAAATAAATAATCAAAAGAAGTTTCAAAAACAAAAATTTTAAATTCCTGCACACGTTGCACAGCTCAATTGATGCAGAAAAGCTCTCAATCTTGCATTATCATCAGTTGTGTTTCAATTGTTTTGTGCTCTTCTGATGTTTCCCTGACCTTAACTTTTTGAAAATCTGTCTCTCAAAAATCAAATTGTATCAAAAGGCAAGGTAAAAATTATAGTAATCCTCCCAAGCCAAAAAGGGCACCTAATGTGCTTAAATTAAGTGATAAAGTGAAATTTTTATATTTATTGAAAAGAACCATGTCTTTAGCAGAAGTTGGGTGGCATTATGGGAAAAATGAATCAAGCATCTGCAGTATTCATGATAAAGAGCATGAAATAAAATCTAGTTTCTGGTGAGCAGTATTAACGCGTACAAACAGTAATTTTGTGACAGTAATGTAGCCGACTCCATACAGTTTCAAGCTATGGATGCTCAGATCTATAATATGAACGGTATTGGTAAATCTGAGTAATTTTAGAATACTGAACTCTATGCATGCTGAGAATCTGCAGTTTTTGCCCAATGGCTATCTCCTAGAACTATATACCCACAGATACCAAGGGTCTACTGTATAGTTTTGCTCAGTAACTTCTTGAATGAATGTCCAAATTCATTCTCAGGATGTATTCATAACTGTCTAGTTTTTACCCAATATTCTATCCATCGTAAGAGGATAGTATTGTTATTTTCTTGCTTGCTTTCCTTTCTCCTCTGGATATAGTGCAGAAAAAAAACTCAGGTTAAACTGTATTTTGCTTGGACAGAGTATCCATTTATTTCAAATTAATTTGGTGGCTAGTTTCTAGTCAAATATTTTAATGATTCCCATTTAGAAATGTTATGTTTTCCTGAAAATAATGTGTAAGGTTATATTAAATTAATTCCTCTGTATCACTTTCTTGGGATCTTCTACCCCAGAGTCAGGGTTGTTTTATAAACAATTAGTGAATTTACTAGAAAATCAATCATCTCGTGTTGTTTTTCAAATATGCTAAAGTCAAATGTATTTGTCTCTAATTTTTAAAATCTCTCCTGATTCTGTGGTTGTTTTCTAATTCCTATTTTTGCCAATTTTAATTTTGCTTTTCCTTAATCAAGCTCTAAACAAGTGTATGTACTTTAAAGCTCTTTTTGAAGGAAGAAGCTTCCGCATTTGAATTTACCGTTTTTCGTTGCTGTTCGGATTTTTTGGTGTGGTGGTGTTACTGGGGTTTGAACTCAGGGCCTTGCACTTGCCAGGAAGGCACTCCACCACTTGAGCCACACCCCCAGCCCAGTGTTCTGGCTATTTTTGAGATGACGTATTGCTTTACGCTAGGAGGATCAGGAAAGTAGTTAAAATGACAGATGCATGCCAGCCAGTTATTAAGATGGAGATCTCAGGAACTCCTTTTTGCCCAGGCTGGCGGCCACGACCCTCCTGATCTCTGCGTCCCAAGTAGATAGGATTACTACTGCGCCCAGCCCCTTTTGTTTTTAATTTTTCTATTTCATTAATTATAGTTTCTTTTTTTCCCCCTTGGCGGTACTAAGGTTTGAACTCAGGGCACTACGCTTACTAGGCAGGTGCTATACGGCTTGAGCCACATCCCCAGCTCTTTTTGCTTTTTCTGACATAGAATCTCAGGGGTTTTTTGTTTTTTGTTATTTGCCCAGACCGGCATGGACTGCAATTCTATTTATGCTTCCTGCTTTAACTGGGATGACAGACATGACCCATCAAGCCCAGCTTTTTCTGTTGAGGTGGGGTCTCCAGATTCCCCCACTGCACCTGGGGCTGGCCTGGAACCACTTTCCTCCCAATGTCAGACGCTCAGGTAGCTGGGATGACGAGCACACACCACCACCACCGAGCAGAGATACTGGTTGAGATGATTTCTGGAAACTTTTTGCCAGGATTGGCTTCAAATAGAGATCTTCTGAATCTCAGCCTCCCAAGTGGCTGGGATTATAGGCGTGAGCCTCCACGCCAGGCTGTTTCTATTAATTCACTCTTGCTTTTAAAGCTTCTCTTCTCTCCCCCCTCCCCCCTTTCCCCTCTCGCTTTTATTTACCAGTGGCCTCAGGGAGACCAGCGGTTGATTGGTGTATTTTCTCCCTAAGGGAAACTACTTCCTGGGCTGTTTGTGCTCGGGGTTGGGTAGCGGCATCCGGAATGAAGTGTAACGACGGGCCACGCACGTACTCGGACTCATAGAGAAGCCAGGACCGCCAAGACTGGTCCCGCCAACCCCGCCTGAGCCTCAGCCTCCGCCTCCGCCAGGACTGCAATTCCCAGAAGCCTCCGGGGGATCGGCCGCCTGACGTCCAGGGGCTCCGGCGATCATGTCCCAGCCAGGCCACCATCCGCCGGGTCCCCGTCCAAGTCCTCAAGCGGAATCCCGCGGCGCGAAGGCTTCTGGGAGATGGAGTCCGAGTTGCGGCGTGCGCAGGCGCGAGCCCGAGGTTGGGCGGGGCCGGGGAGCCCGCGGTGCGAATTGGGCTGCTGGAGCTCCTGCGTCCTGTGGGGTGAGTCCTGAGGGCCGACACCTGCAGGTCCCGCCCCGCGGCCCGGCTGCTTTTAGGGACCCCGGAGACAGTGGAGTCCTGCCGCTAGCAGACAGCGCCCCGGGATTGTGCAGAGCCGAGCCGCGCTCCGCTGCCCGCGTTGCGACACGTGCCGGGGAAGGCTCTGGGGGGTCTTGGTGTCCCTCTTTTTTCCCGAGATCCCACGGGGAAAAGTGGAGGTAGGGCTGGGTGCTGCCACTAGCCCGGACTACAGGCCCTCTCTAGGACTTTTGGAGGGACCTGCCAAGTCCGGGAGCAGAAGTTCAGCCGGGCGCCACGGGGCATCACTTGAAATGCCTGCTCTGCGGGCCGCCTTTGTCCTCGGCCAGCCGTCCCTCCGTGCTGCATTGATGGCCTCTGGGGCTCCCACCTCCCTTCCTGTTGGATACCCCTGACGTCGGACACTGCACCCCAGTCCACGTCTTAGCGATGCTACAGTAGGACCCTGCTACAATTCCTGGGCGTTCAAATGTGATCTAACCCTTGAAGGGGGATTTACATTTTTCTTGTGCTGTAACATTGCTTCAGATATTTGAGGAAGAGTAGAGATGCCTGGGAGGACTCTGCCTCTCCTACACCACCCTCTGAAAGCTGCTCAGCTTTGAGTCTGGAAATACGGGTTTTGAGTCAAACTTGTCTCTTCCAGGAGTCATTTCTTCCTGTGGGTTCCTAGAACAGTTTTTCCCTGCTGTTTTTTGTTTTGTTTTGTTTTCCTGTTATGGCATTCATTTAGTTGTATTGTAGAAAACCACTGTACATGCCTATCTCTATCAGATTGTAAGTTTCTCAAAAATTATGATTTAAATGGCTCAGAATCTTGGGGAACAGTTGAGAAATGGAGTAGAGGGTATTCTACAGGGTTTGGTTCTTTGTAGATGCTGAGTATGTGTGCAATGAATGAAAAGAAGAAATTCTTTCTTCTGTTACAGGTTGTCCTCAAAGATTCCAGCTGGTGTGGGTCTTCTGAAGAGCTAGTCGTGGGTAGGATGGCTGTATCACTAACAGAAGCTAAAACTCTGGCCCTTCAGGGTATGCAGGAACAAGAGAAGATTATGATGTTGGCGCCAAAGGAAGAGGAGCAGTCTTGGGAATTTGAGACAAGGCTACCTGGGAACCAGTCTACCAGTCAAGAGGTCTTCCGCCAACGCTTTAGGCAGCTGTGCTACCAGGAGACTCCTGGCCCCAGGGAGGCCCTGAGCCGTCTACGGGTACTGTGTTGTGAATGGCTGAGGCCAGAGAGACACACCAAGGAGCAGATCCTAGAGCTGCTGGTGTTGGAACAATTCCTGACCATCCTGCCTGAGGAGCTTCAGTCCTGGGTGCGGGGACATCACCCTAAGAGTGGAGACGAGGCTGTGACTGTGCTGGAGGACTTAGAGAAAGGAATTGAACCAGGACTGCAGGTGGGAAGGGGGATTTGATCTGTTGTGGGAGCCAGATGAATGACCTGCAGGCTGGACAGAGGGGCAGCAGTAGGGGTCGTTGCCAAGGTAGAGCAGTTAGTATATGTTTCTGTCTCTGTCTTTTCCTCAAGCTCTGAATGAGAAAGAGACTCTAGCTCCTCTTCTTTCCCCTTTGCTGACTCTGAGGAGGCTCTCTAAAGTCTCCTTGGAAGCTTTGGTCCTACATAAACCGAGTGGTACCTGATCACCTGCAGGTTCCAGGCCCTACATGTGGATCTGCACAGGAAGAGCCATGGGAGAAGAAGACACCAAGCATCCAGCTCCAACCAAAGGAGACCCAACTCAAGTGTGAACTTCAGGAGACCCCTCCTTTCTCAGAAAGTGGTGAGGAGCAGGACTCTGTGTGGAGAGACAGGAGGAAGAGGGGGAATAGAGAGCATAGCATCCAGTACCTTATAAAGGGCACACAGTAGGTGTTCAAATGTTTGCTATGATCATCGGGGCCTTACTGTTCTTACCTTTTACGTAAAGACGTAGTCTAAGTCATCACCCATAAAATTAGAAGTAAGAGTAACCTACTTTGGGGCTAGAGGTGTAGCTCAGTGGTAGAGTACTTGCCTAACATATGAGAGGCCCAGCACCACAAAAGAGAAAAAAAAAGAAAGGCACAAACTACCTCACAAGGTAACTCACATCCTATATAAAGGCTGGCTAGTATTTCTTAGGGGTTTTTCATGTGGTTTGTTAGTTTCTTGTTTTGTTTTCAGTACTGGGGTTTGAACTCAGGACCTTAGTGGCTGGGTAGGTGCTATATAACTATGCCTCCAGCCCTTTTTGCTTTAGGGATAGGGTCTTTTTTTTTTTGGCCTGGGCTATAATCCTCTTGTTTATGCTTCCTGAGTAGCTGAGATACTAAGCATGTACCACCATCCCAGCTATTGGTTGAGATGGCAGTCTCACAAACTTTTTGCCCAGGATAGCTGTGAATAGTGAACCTCCCAATCTCTGCCTCCCAAGTAACTATGATTACAGGCATAAGCCACTGCCTGGCAATAGCGTACCCTAGCTTTGGGTAGTCCTAAAGCAGGACCACAAAATACTTCATTCACTTGCTGTTTCATCTTCACTGCTGTTGACACCTAGTCCATAATAGTAGTGCTGTGAGTTCGAGGCCAACCTTGAAATAGCTTCCCCATGCCCCACAAAATACAGTTTTTTAATAGAGCACTTCCATGTGAGACACAGCCTCTCATCACCTTTATCTACCACCTACTCCCAACCCCATCCAAAAGCCTTATTTAAAACTCTTACATCTGCACTTAACTTCTACCCTTCAGATTAACTGCCAAAACTTCCTTCTTAGTCCACATACATCCCCATAAACATCTTTCCCTATCTCTCCAAGACAAACAGCAGACTTAGAGACAATAAGTTAAAGGCCTCGGGACTGAGAACTGTCCTTGCTGACTTCTGTAATGCCATGAGCTGTAGTGAACAATGTGAATGTTTTGTTGCCAATCAAAAAGATTCTATTTAGAATTTAGTTTTACCCCACAACTCAAAAAAACCATCTGAAAACTCAATTTTTTTGTTTTTTTTTTTTGGCAGTACTGGTGTTTAAACTCAGGGCCTCAAGGCAGGTGCTCTTGAAAACTCAAATTCTTGTTACAAGAAAATGGGAATAACTAGAAATGGAGACTAATCATAAAGTCGGTTCCAAAAGTATGTTTTACCTCCCATCTCTCCTTTCCTCCTTGCCTTTTTTCTAGACACTTTCTTTTCTCCTTTTCTTCTGTTTAGAAAGCCTCTATTTTAATTAAATTGATGCTTTACTTTTAAAAAGAAGCTAACCATTGTGTCTTTTTTTTTTTCTTTTGGCAGCACTGAGGTTTGAACTCAGGACTTCATGCTTGCTAGGCAGGTGCTCTTACTGCCTGAGCCATTCTGCCAGCTCTGTACCTTTTTTTAATAGCAAGAATATTTGAGATTTCTTTAGCTATCACATTAAACACCTGAAAAATATATTTTTAAATCAAGTGATCATTAATTATTTCAAAGAAACTGCTTCTCATTGTCTTTATGTTTTATTTATAATATTCCCTATAGACATTTAAAAATAAAAGTCAAGACACTCTTTCCTTCCTTTTTTAAGGAGCAAGTCAAATGGAAAAGAACAGAGCAGTGCGCCAGGCAGAGAGGAGGCAAGAAACTGAGTCCTCACTTCAAGGAGGTGGCTGCATGAAGATTCTCCTCAGTGGCTAAAGACTTATGAGGCAGGAAGTGAATGGGAAGAATGGAGGTCCCAGAGCCAGGAAGGGCAGAGTCTTTCCACCTTTAGAAACATCCCTTTTCCCTAACCCTCATGCTTCTTCTTTCTTATTTTTTCCCTTCATTCACAACATCAGTTGACCACTCCCCAATTCCTTGAAAGTAACTTCTTTTCCTCTTAAGAGCGAATTCAAAAAGGCCCTGCTTTGAAACTTAACTTTATTTTTCAAGTGACTTTATAGTGTTCCATTCTAGAAAGATTGAGGGGATAGAAACAAATACACAATCACATCACCAAGAGATGAACATTGTAAATATACTTCCAGTCTTTGTTATATGTGTAAAAAATATTTTAAGCTTTATTTTTATTACAGAAGTGTAAATCCTAATCTAAATATCATTTCTCCATATATCCAGAACAGGTATCCTTAAATTTTCCATCACTTGTTGCAGAAGATGGCCCAGAAACCAAGGGCAAAGGATCACTGCCACAACCACCTATTACTGAAGTAGAATCACCAGTGTTCTCAGAAAAACTTAGCATTGACATCTCTACATTTAAAGCTACTTCTGAAGTTGAGGGCACTTTAGAACAGCAACAGAAAACTGCTAAAGTGGAAAGACAAAAAATTTTCAGACAGATGGTTGTCACCCATAAGAAAACTCCCACAGAGAAGAAAGACCATGAATGTAGTGAATGTGGAAAAGCCTTCATTTATAACTCCCATCTTGTAATTCACCAGAGAATCCATTCTGGAGAGAAACCCTTTAAGTGTAGTGACTGTGGGAAAACTTTCAATCAGAGCTCAAACCTCATCCAGCATCAGAGAATTCATACAGGAGAGAAACCCTACGAATGTAATGAATGTGGAAAGGCCTTCAGATGGGGTGCTCATCTTGTTCAACATCGGAGGATTCATTCGGGAGAGAAGCCCTATGAATGTAATGAGTGTGGGAAGGCCTTCAGTCAAAGCTCATACCTAAGTCAGCATCTGAGAATCCACAGTGGAGAGAAACCTTTTATATGTAAAGATTGTGGGAAAGCTTACCGATGGAGTTCAGAGCTTATTAGACATCAGAGAGTTCATGCTAACAAAGAGCCTCCCCAATGTAGTGAAGGTGAGAAAGTCTCCAGACACACTTGTACTTTTGTCTAATCTACTTAGAATTAGAGCCCATAAAAGTGATAAGCACCTTAAAGTTTTTCCTGAGTCTTTCTTGATTTTGGAAAAACTTTACATAGTCCTACCTGCATATTTTTATCACTTTCTGTCCTTTGATTGAGATTAATGTATCAATTAAGATGCCTTTGGCTGCAAGTAATAGCCAAATCATTCTACTTCTCCTTTCTGGCATTATCTTGGACAAGATTCTGCACTGCCCACCAATAAAATAAGGATAATAATACCTACTTCTGAGTTCTAGCCCCAGTACTGCGTAGGCAGTGATAGTTACTAGTATTTTTTATGGAAGGGTCTTTGGTCTGGCCCTTTCTTAGACTCATACTGGTCTGCTTCCTTGGGTCACATCTGCAAATGCTCAGGCATAAGACAAACCACATTAGTAATTTGGGGAAAGTTTAACTAAAGAAATGTTAATTAGTAAAGGGATTATCTACTAAAGAATATAGGAATAGTGGAATAAGAAACAGCTACTACCTCTAGGGTTCGGGGAGAACATTCAAGAAAGAAACAAACTTAGAAGCTCCCTGCCCCCGCTCCCAACACTAAAATTCAGACCTCACTGGACAGGTGTGGCTGTCCAGAGGTAAGCCACAGCCAGCCTGTACAGATTTGCAAGAACAGTTTTGTATCTCTTCCCAAATCTGCATTGAAATTAGCTGTGGTGGGAATAGTCACACCATGGAAATCAGCAAACACATCAAGTGAGAGATTTTGTTTTTGAGCAAGTTAGATATTTACCAACATAATACAGGCTCTGACCCACTGGATGGTGATGTTCACTGAGGTGCTGTAGGCCTTGACTGATGAGTCGGAAGCCACCAGCTGAGGTGCCAGCAAAACTTACTAGAGGATGGGTGCGCTGGTTCGCCTGCATACCACTAGCAGCTGTGTTGTAAATGCAAGATGGAACAAACAACTAGATGCAGCCCCTTTGCCTTGTCCCTTCAGTGTCATAGAGCAGGACAAAAGAATTGATCATTAGCCCACATTTCAAGCTCATAAAAGTCATTCTCTATCTAGATCTCTATTTAAATGTTACTTCCTTGGAGAAACTTTTCCTAGCTCTAACACAAGTTTCTCTCACACATAAACAGCTAAAAGTAAACAGGTGGTTAGCAAGCTACAGCCCAAGCATGAAATCCAAATTTAGTTCATAGCCTCTTTTTGTGTGCCCACAAGCTAAAGATGGTTTTTACATTTTTTAAATATTGAAAATGTTAAATATGCAAAAGAGATTATAGGTAGTCCCCGGAGTCTAAATTATTTAGCATCTGGCCCTTTACAGAAAATGTTTGCCAAGCTTTGGTCTAGTGAGCAGCTCAGTTTATCTAGTTTTCCTAGATGTTTCGAGAACCCGTATGCTGTCCATCTTGTTTGTTCCTCTAAGTTAGGATGTTTTTGTCTGCATCACTGAAGCTGGATCATTACCGTATCCATATTCCAGCTCACAGAGAATTAATAATGATCATAAGAACAAGTGATTACCAACAAGGATTGTGGAAGGTGGCCCAGGCCTTTGGTGAGAATAATTTACATAGCTATATCTATCTTCTGAGAAGTCAGAAAGCACCTGCAGCAGGATGGCCATTTGCTCAATTAAAATTACTACTGTGCAGGAAAGAATTTGGGAAGACAATGAGCAGTCTTGCACTGATGAAACATCTTCCTCCTTGTGCAATCCAGTGCAGCTGGTTGATGAGGGAAGGAGAGTTCTGGTCCCAGAAAGGGTAAAGCAGGATTCTGGGAAGCGGAGAATGGGGTCAGGTGATCAAAGGGAATGGATTAGAGTTCTGGCCTTGATGACAGTCACTCCACAAATAGTCATTCTGTCTGTAGTGCCCTAAATTGAGCATTCTGAGGAGAGCTGAAATCAGAAAAATATTTTGTAGGCAAAAAATTGACCTGAAACCATCTTTTTTGGCTTTGGTAATGCAAAAGAAGCTATCCCAATAACAGATGGTCTGTGTGCTTATTTGTTTCAGGAACTAGTTCCTTATGCTTGAGGGAGGCCTGCTAGTTAAAGGTGCAGTGTTTCCATTCCTATTTTTATGTCTACAAGTGCCTTACTCACATGTGAGCTTTGGAATTTACTATGATAGCAGGAGCTTCCCAGCTCTACAGCTGAATAAGCAAAAGAATCTGCTGAGATTCTGGTCTTTTGTTCACAGCAGGAGACAAAGGGAAAAATGAGACTTTTTCCTAGTTTTCAGGAAGCTGATGACCAGTCAAGGGGTACCATATGAACGCCTAAATGGAATTGTAGATACTGGTGACCTGGCCTGAAGGAATTAATACTCAAGTGCTTTGTGGGCATAGACACTGGGATAGGTAAGAAATAAGGACCATCCTCTAATTGGTACAGTTCGTCTATTCTGCTGAGTATCTGGGGAAAGTTCCTCATCAAAGGGAAAGAAAGTGTCAGTGAGGCACTCTTATGCCCACAGGAAGAAAAAAATGCAAATTTTAGCCAATGCCTGAACTACAGGAACCATGAGCAAAGTCTTTTTAATACAGTGAAACCAAAGTCATGGGATAAGTGCAGTTAGAATCGTATTTTCAAGATCTTACACTTTTAGGAGAACACTTTCCCAGTGTAACTATTTTTTTTGGCTTAACCCAGAAAAACCTCAAAATTAGTGGAGGTAAGAAGCAAGATAGCCATGTCTGGGGTGAAGATGTGAACTGTTGGAGGAAGCTGCTGGAGAAGGGACTTGCAGACTGAGCCAAGCAGTTTGGGCACTTGGTATAGCAGGATCCTCACTCATCCCATTGTCCCACTGCCAGGTTTCCCTTGCACCTTGCTTTCTTGGGATGAAGCCCCTTCAGAAATTGCCCTTTGAAGTCAGACCAGCTGTGGTGAGGGGTAGAGAAAGCTCATCAGTTCTTTCCTAGAACTTTAAAAGGGCCACAGCAGCCAGCCCTGGTAGCTCACACATGTAATCCTAGCTACTCAGGAGGCACAGATCAGGATGATTGTTGTTCTAGGCCAGCCCAGGCAAACAGTTCAAGAGAGCCTATCTCAAAAAAAAAAAAGGGTTGGTGGAGTGGCTCCACCAGTAGTAGAGCACTGCCTGGCAAGTGTAAGACCTTGAGTTCAAACCCTAGTGCCCCTCCCCAAAAAAGGAGGAAGGAGACAAAGCATTTTTAGTTTTGTTAGGCAGATATTTGTGTAGCAGCAGCCTTGCAACTCATGCTCTCCACCTAATGAGCACACTTACTGTAGTTAGTAGAACCATCTTAGTGGCAGGAGTCAATTTAGTGATAGTGTGTGCATGCTTGAGACAAGCAGCCAGTACAAACGCCAAGCCAGTGCTCACTAGCTGTTCACATGAGCAGGAGTGTCAAGGGCCTGGCACAGAGAGATGCTTCTTTTGAGGAGGAAAGTATTTGATAAATACCTATGTGGCAGGTCCTTGATATTCCTGTTCAAATGAGAATAGGTAGTTCTTACTACCTGCCTTTAACAGGAGGAGAGGTGGGGGATTTGATTTTTTTGGTAGGGGGACAGTACTGGAGTTTGAGCTCAGGGCCTCACACTTGCTAGGCAGGCACTCTACCACCTGAGTCACTACACCAGCCCTTTTAATTTTTAAATTTTTGTTTATTTTTGTTTTGTGATAGGGTCTTCCTAGTAGCCCAGACTAACCTTGAACTCTGGATCCTCCTGCCTTCCCAGGGCTGGGATTACAAGTGTGCACCACCACATCCAGATGGAAGAACAGTCTTAATCGTGTAGTAGATGCTGTGGTGGGTGTGCTGCTAGGATTTCCCCAGCTGTCAAAGATGCCTCCCCAGGAAGGAGCAAAAGGAGCAGCCACAAACAAGTCAGGTTGGTGGAAAGAACTGGGAACCAAGAATGGAAGCATTTCAGACTTCTTGTGCGATTGATGGAGGCCTCTGTTGCAGCTTCGTTGCTATTTAGCCTCTCCCTCTGCTTATCCTGTGGCCTTTGCTCTCACTGGGGTTCCCAAGAGCTTTCCTCAGTAAACTTTCTCCACATATTCCATTTCAAAATCTGCTTTCCAGGAATCTCAGCCCATGAAATTTAGACAGTATCAAAATAAGCAGAGTAAAGAGATGCAGCGGAGTGTGGGAGCACACACCTGTAATCCCAGCGCTCAGGAGGAGGGGGCAAGAAGATTGCAAACTGGCCAGCCTGGACCATGCAATGAGACCCTGTCTTTAAAACAGAGAAAAAGAGATGGGGAGGTAGATGAAAATTGCCTGGACTTTTTATTTTCAGTACTGAGGATTTAAACCCAGAACCTCAAAAATGCTAGGCAAGTGTACCACTGAGCTGCATTCCCAGCTCTGCCTGGACTTTTAAGTCACAAGTTTGGAGAGAGATCCCTACTGGTCCTGCCTAGTAAGTGCAAGGCCCTGAGTTCAAACCCCAGTACCACACACCAAAAAAAGTAGCTATGTATACATCAACAAGTCACTGAAAAACAAGACAGAAAAGCAATCCCATTCACAATAGTGTCATAAAAATACCTAGGGATAAACTTAACCAAAAATGTTAAAGACCTCTACAGTGAAAAACTATAAAGCACTAAAGAAAGAAATTATAGAAGACATTAGAAGATGGAAAGGCATCCAATGTTCATGGATTGACAGAACAAATGTAGTTAAAATGGCCACATTCCCAAAATCTATATATAAATACAATGCAATCCCCATCAAAATCTCAATGACATTCTTCACAGAAATAGAAAAAACAATCCTAAAATTTATATGGAAACATGAAAGAACCTGAATAGGCAAAGCAACCTGAGCATAAAAGAGCAATGCTGACACAATATCTGACTTCAAAGTATACGAGGGAGCCATAGTAAAAAAAAAAGAAAGAAAGAAATAGCATAGGAGAGCTGGGGGCATGGCTGGAGTGGTAGAGTGCCTGCCTAGCAAGCACAAAGTCCTGAGTTCAAACTCCAGTACTGTCAAAATTATCTCAAGTTCAAAATATAGCATGATGCTGGCACAAAAATAAAAATATAGACCAGTAAAATAGAAGACACAGAAATAAGCCCACACATCTACAGCCTTCTGATTCTTGAGAGAGATACCAAAAACAAATATTGGAGGAAAAGACAGCCTCTTTAATAAGTGATGCTGGTAAAACTGGATATCCACATGTAGAAGACTGAAACTAGACTCCTACCCCTCTCCCTGTACAAAAATCCTTTCAATGATATCAAAGAACTTAGTGTCTAACACCTGAAACTTTGAAACTACTAGAGAAAAACAAAGGGAAGACACTTTAAGATACAGGCATAGGCAATGACTTTCTGAACAGGACTCCAATAGCTCAGGAAATAAGAGAAAGAATTGGCAAATGGTATTGTATCAAATTAAAAATCTTCACAGCGGGGATACTTGGAGAAGCCCTTTTAAACACTGACTTTGGAATTAATAATAAAATATGTGCAGTGGGGAGTACTTGTGTGTTGGTGGGTGAATGGAGGAGATGAAGGTGAGGAAATATGGCTAACGGGCTTCATATACTTATATGAAATAGAACAATGAAAATTTCTTGCAGGTGCCAGAGAGGGGTTTGCGGGCAGGGGTGGGGTGGGAGGGATAGTGGGGGTGATCTAACTAATGTACAATGTAAGGCTATTTGGAATTGTCACATGAATTCCCTCTGTGCAGCGAATATATCCTAATAAAAATGGAAAAAAATCTTCTGTCCAGATTAAAAAAAACAGTCAATAGAGTAAAAAGATAGCCTACAGAATGGGAGAAAATCTTAGCCAGCTATCATCTGTCAGGAGATTAATATCCAGAAAAATATAAAGAACTCAAAAAAGTTAACATCCAAATAACAGGTAATCCAATCAATGGGCAAATGAACACTTTTCAAATGAAGATGTACAGATAGCCAATAAAGTCATGAAAAAATGTTCAATGTTCTTAGCCATCAGGGAACCATAAATCAACACTACATTGAGATTCCACCTTACCCAGGTCAGGATGGCTATCAAGAAAAAAAAAATGCTGGGAGAAAAGAAAGCAAATTCTTATTCACTGCTGGTGGGAATATAAATAAATGTAGCTACTATGGAAATTGGTGTGGAGGTTCCTCAAAAATTTAAAAGTAGAACTCCCATTTGATCCAGGTATACCACTTTTGGGTATATACCCAACAGAATCAAAGTCAGCTTATTATAGAGATACCTATATATACAATATTCATAATATTCACAACAGTGAAACTATGGAATCAGTCTAGGTGCCCATCAACTGATGAATGGATGAAGAAAATGCAATGGAGTTTTACTCAGCCATTAAGAAGAATGAAATTATGTCACTTGCTGAAAAATGGATGGAACTGGAGATCATGTTAAGTGAAATAAGCCCATCCCACAAGGACAAGAGTTGCATGTTTTCTCTCATGTGTAGAAGCCAGGGCAAAACAAAACAAAACAAAACAGAACAAAAAACCCAAGGTTACGAAGGTAAAAGGGGAACTATTAGGGAGGTTGGAGAGGAAAAGAAAAGGAGAAGGGAGGAGGAAGGATAACAGTAATGGGACGGATGTGATCAAAATATACTATATGCATGAAACCCTCTACTATGTACAACTTAACATGTGCCAAATTTTAAAAATGCTTTTTTAAAAAGAGAGAATCTGTCTGCTAGGAGACTTGTTTTCTCTTCCAGGCACCTGAAAATTACTGAAGCTGTTCGTCAATGACACTATTAACTTTAACAAGTAGGCTTTATGTTACAGACCAAGAAAGAGACTTGAAAAGAAATTAAACAAGTTGACCAAAGCCACATAAGTTATGAGTAGTAGTACCAAGACCTGAACCTAAGTATGGCTTTAAAACCTGTACACATAGTGCTCTGTGTTTGCTCAACCAAGCCCCAAGGGAGAAGGCTCAGTGGGAGAGCTTTTGCATTTCTAACCTGTTTCCCAGGCAGGTGAGGGCTCGGTCTGAGTGACCAGATTATCCCTGCTGCCCAGGGACTAATGGAGAATTAAACTCATTCTGCTTTGCAAATTAATTCTACCCCCCTTAATTGCATGATTAAGCAATGAGATGTTAAACCTTAATTTAAAAAATTAAACCCTTGGGCTAGAGGTATGGCCTACACAATAGTGTCTGCTTTGCAAACGGGAAGCCCTGATTTCAACCCCAGTTCCACAAAAAAAAAAAAGAGAGGAAGATTCTGCTCTAGCCAGCCTGCTTCCAACAGTTTACCTTGCTGTAGAATCTAATCCTTTCAACAAGCCATTTCAAAACTAATTTTCAGAATTGTCCTGAGCCTATGAATACATCTGAGGAAAGCATAAGCTTGTGAAGGTAATGAAGACGCTGCAAAAACAGGAATATTCATCCTCAATAAATACACTTAAAAAAACACATTAATAAAAAATAAAAAAAAAAAACAGCTGGTCACAGTGGCTCACACCTGTAATCCTAGCTACTGGAGAGGCAGAGATCGGGGCACTGGAGGTTCCAGACCAGCCTGGCAAGAAGTTTAGCGATCCCATCTCAACAAATAGGTGGGTATGATGGTGTGTGCCTGTCATCCCAGCTACACAGGAAGCATAAGTAGGAGGCTAGTGGTCCAGGCCTGCCTGGGGATAAGCCTGTGAGACTCTATTGAAAAATGACAAAAGCAAAAAGGGCTAAGGGTGTGCTCAAGTGATAGGGTGCCTGCCTGGCCAGCATAAAGTCTGAGTTCTATACAAGAATGAATATAGAATTTTTAAACCTGTTGAAATCACAATAAGGAGGTGACTAAGAAAGGAGAAAAATGGAGAGGATGAACCAATTTGGCATATAATACATATATATATGGAAATGTCATAATGAAACTCCCTGTGTAGCTGTCTTAAACAAACAAAAACGTCTTTCTTCAAAAATGAAGAACAGGGAGCTAAAACAGGTCCTGTCTGGGGGTTGGCACCAATGGGAGTGGGGAGGACATAAAGAAAGGGTGAAGGAGGGTGGATATGGTGAAAATATTATGTGCTCATGTATGAAAGTGGATAAATGAGACCTGTTGAAACTATTCCAGTAATAGAATGGGGAGAAGAGATATAAAGGAGAACCATGGAGGGCGGTGAATTCAACTTTGATTCATTGTAAAAACTTTGGTAAATGTCACAATGTACCTACCCCCAGTTCAATAATTAAACACCATATCCAAGATGAAAATAATGTATAAAAAACATAAATGAGATCAGGAAGTTAAATAAAAAGGTTCTTGTGAAATAAGATTTTTTAGGATGACACAGGAAAAGATCTGATTTTTTGTGGGTTTTTTGGTTTTTTTCAGGGCTGAACGTTGCAAAGAAAAGGAGTGTGCTTAAAGCAATAGTAGCAACAGTGACTTGTTTTTGTGATACTGTGATGGATCCATTCCTTCAACAAAAGAAAGGTTTGGTTCACTTGTTCAACATTTTGCCTGCCCATATGTCACAGAAAGACCAAGTGGGTGATGTAGATCTCTAATGGTGTCACCGTTATTGGAAGTGGGGGAGATAAAGAAATTGAATAGAAAAATAAAGGACACCAAAGGTAACCTGATGCTACCTTCAGCTAACTAAATTCAAAATGTCATTCATCATTTGCTACTTATCTGTTGAATTCATTCATTTATTCATTTTTGAGTGGCAACTCTGGGCTGAACTTGGTACCCTCTTTCACAACAGCGTTAGCCCTGTCCTCAAGGAACAAAACAAAATTACTGACCCCAGTGAAGAAGAGGAACGATCAAAGTTTCAGCCAGAATGGAAGCAAACCCAGGATCGCTGGGCACTGTGGATGCTCTGATACTAAATTAGTGACTTTTTCAATACTGGCCTTCAAAGGACCTCTCCAGTGTGAATTTTCTGTTCGAGGTGAGTGAACTACAAGGTGGGAGTTCCATCTTATGGTCTTCGCACACTTCTTGCATTAACGGGGTTTATGACAAGAGTGAAATCTGATGCACAGAAATCTCTATCTCCAACTGAAAGCATGAAGACCCCCCAGGTTTTTCCAGCACTCTCTGAACTCGGATTTCCCCTAACTTCAATCAGTGTAAATTAGTGCCTCCTCTGAGTGAAGTCCCTTGTCACCCCAGCCACAGTCTGGACATCACCAGCCAAATTGAGGTCACACAAACGTTTGCTTCTTTCCTGATAATCCTCTGGATAATCCGCCCAGACCTCTGCCCACTTCCCACGCTCGTTTCGGCAGAAGCTCACGTGATGCGGACGCCCCACTCGCCCCGCACTCTCCACGCACGTCCATCGTCTGGTCCCTCCAATCGCAGAGGCAGTGCCAGTTTCTTCCTAAAGCCACCGTACTTCCGTACTTCCACCCGATCCTTTCCCCTGGCAACTAAA